TGGCTTCCTTCAAAGAGCTTGTTAGAAAATTCGAAGACGTTTTTTTGCGCTAAGGCATCATAAACGGATTTAGTGTGAAAGTAGACAAAGGCAGCTTTAAGAGCAAACCTCCTGTATAACACATAATTCTCGAAGCCACAAGTTGAATTACATTTTTGCTGAACATTATCACACTGGGAAGATAAGCCATTGTAATGTACTAATTGGTCCTGTTTATTGACCCAAGAGCAACGTTCAACGCTAGGTATATTGCGTAGGCCAATCTTCACATTGGTTTCCCCCGGCGGAGGAATGAAGGTGAAACATGGGCCCAGAGGCGAGTACGACCTCCGCCAGTGTGGAGCTTCAGTTGCGTCTTTTTTGTAATTCACAGAAACATTTTCAAACATCACCGTTTGAACTATCTGGCCGAAACGCCACTGAGCCTCTCGCCAAAGCTGCGCCGTCGTCAGGCTGTCGTTCAGTCCATCGAGTTTGAGAAGCGCCTCCCCGACCTGCTCGTAATTCCCGGAAACGTTCACTCCAAGGCGCCTGAGCACAGAGGGCTCGAAAGCAGGATGGGGACACACGGTGATGGGGGGGAGCTGGAAGTTCGGATCCACCTCGATAGTGACGGAGAAGACGGTGGGGCGATCAAGGAAGACCTCGACGTTGAGTTCGACCTGCCACACGAAGAGCGCTGCAGCAATCGCCGTCACCAAGATCTCCCAGACTTTCCCGCGGTGGCATGACGGCGTCGCACGGGATCTCCATGTCCGTTCCATGCTGTTTGGGACAGATTATGATCACATTCAATCTGATGGACTTCGGATTGATAAGCAGTTGGAGATGCATGATGCATAATCAGAGTGTGTGACAGAGAGGGAGAGAGAAGAGAAGAGAGGAGAGGAGAGAGAGAGAGAGAGAGAGTAGGTAAGTGAGTGAGTGAGTGAGAGTGAGAGAGTGAGTAAGTAAGTGAGTGAGTGAGCGAGCGAGCGAGAATGAAAGAGATAGATATAGATAGATAGATAGAGGGAGGGTAAGTAAGTGAGAGTGAGAGAGAGAGAGAGAGAGAGAGAGAGAGAGAGAGAGAGAGAGAGAGAGAGAGTGAGTGAGTGAGCGAGCGAGCGAGAGAGAGAAAGAACGAAAGAGAGAAAGAAAGAAAAAGAGAGAGAAAAAGAGAGAGAGAGAGGGGGGGTGGGGAGAAGACCAATGGGAATACTATATTTACCACCCATCTAGAAAATCTCATTCCTGAGCTGATATGCATCCCATAGTGTAATGTATAGAGGTCTATTCAAAGACAAGTAATTCTGAGAGAAAGGGAACACTGATAGATGGGATCACAGTGTCTTAAATGCGCCCACATTTTGCTGTTGATCCAACCCATTTTTTTAAATTTAAATTTGAGACATAAGTAAAAAAATCAGGCATAATCAGCAGATCCAGTGTGATGTACACTTACGCTAGTTTATTGATCATTCGTTTTATAGATGACCACAAAAATATATTTTTTCCTTCAAAATTTCACTATCACTATTCTAATAATGGGTATTAAAACTGCTGCCGAATACTTAGGCTCTTAATCTGTATGACGTTCACTTACCTGAGTTTCGAGAGAGAGCGCTGGTCGACTCCTCTGTGAACCGACCTCAAGTGGAGTGTCTAGTTAGGTCATCTCTCTCTTGGCTGCGTACACGTACAGTTGTTCTTCTACCCACAGCAATTATTTATTCACTACAGACACGCACACACACAGCCAATTATGCAATGGGTATCGACAACCAACATGATTACAAGCTTCAGAAAAAAAAAAATAAAAAAAAAACTCGAGTCTGATTTGCAAATTGATGATATACAAATCTTGTTTTGAGTGT